AATAAAAACAAATGCAATATTTAGAAATAAAAGAAATCGTAGATAAGTGCATAACATATTGGCAATGTATATTTGCGCGATCTATTTTATTTTAAATATTACCTTTTTAATCTCCTTCAAAAGTTAAATATTATTGTGATATTATTGTGAAAATTATAATTTCTTATTATATTGAATAATATAATCATATTAATTATTATATGTTACATTATTTTATCTCGGCAATATTCGAGTAACATTTGATAAGAAGTTAATGTATTTAAAGTTTAATTTGTATTACTGTCAACATTAAATATTAAATTTTTAAGATCTATAAAAGCAAAAAATATATTTGGATTTATCTTTTTATTTTCGATCTGTTCATTTTTACTTTTACAATGATGATGCATATATTTATCCATCACAGCTGTCTTCGTTGCGCTGTCAGGAACGAACGTTTCTCGTAAACGTTCATGTCCATGTTGAATCGAGAATACGTTCGTCGGTCACTTTGACGCGTGGCACATTTGCCAGTTTTGTAGTCGAACAACCCTTTCAATAAAAGGCAGAAAAATGCCGCGCGAAATTTACAGGCATCGCTCTTTTCAGGATTTTCCTTTATGTTCTACCAAGAGGTATCACCTGTTTCCCTACTGTACTCCACCATGATCTAAGAACACGTGTCTTTCGTTTGATAAAGAAAAAAAAATCATAAAAATATAATATCTAATTTTTAGTTTAGATAGTAATATCATTAACAAAATGACAATACTAATACGATTTTATAAATAATCAACAATAAATAATCACAATAGTTATTTTGTATAGTGTGAATCGGGAGATATTAATTTTTTATTTATATCTTTTCTAATCAATTTCTGGTATGAATCGTATAATATCTGCGAAACTATATTAGATATTAAATCGAAATGAATTGAGAGATGTCTTCAAATCTACTTTTTCAGGCCTACTTTCACAAACTGTCCATGACGAATTACGTGATTTGTCACGCAACATCCCTATGTCGCTTTTAATTCTCTGGTTTCAAATCCTGCGTGCATGCTCACATTGACACTTAGACGAAAGGGACCATAGCGAATTAAAAAGCCAAACTTTTTTAAGAATGTCTGGCATTCATGGTCGTTATTCTAAACGTAACAAAAGTGTTACTAAACACCATAACGCATTTTATGATATAAGGATCTGATTTCAAATTTGATATAAAAAAATGATAAAATCCAAATTAATAAAAAAAAGACAAGAATTCAACTGATTAATTCTGTACATTAAACAGACTTTTAGTTATTAAATTTTTTTATTACATATTTCAATTAAACACTATAGTTTATAGTTCAATAATTATAAACATTATCATAAAAAACGTAGAGACTATTTTTAAAATATACGTAATTTTTAATGATTATAATAAATTAATAATATTAATATTACATAGACAAATTTCTGTTTATTTTAAATTTGATTTTCATTTTCAATAAATGTTTATTAGTGTTAATAATAACAAATAAAATATTAATATTACATGTATATTAATATTATAAGTGTATATATATATATATATATAGTTATAACAAATCTTGTAATAACTACCAAATCTTGTAATAACTAATTTATTTTTAATCATGCATCTTCTTAAAATATCTTACAATTTTTTTCTTTTTAAAATATTATATTAACAATTATATTTCACGATATTAAAATAATAAAATCATTTTAATATGCAAGTGATTCTCTTTAATGTGACATTTTATATTCGCTAATTAGTATAAATTCAAATTAATATGTTTAAACATAGGTTTAATCATTGTAATTAAAAATAAATTGATATATGTTTTATTATACATGTATATTTACAATATAATAAATGGAAACAGTTATCAATATGTATCCAATTCATAGATTATATCTACAAATCTCCACGAAAAGAAAACGCACATTCGTTTCACGAGATCTTCTTCTTACCGTCGCAAGGAGCAACAATCTGATTATTACGTCCATGCTCGACTTAAACTTGACGAACGAAAGTCAAGAGCTCACAACAGAGTTACACGAGCCACGCCCCGTGACTGCGAGGCAAATCCTCCGCGATACAAAACGATCAAATCTCTGTCTTCTCGGACGATGCGGAAACAGAACAGCAAGGTATCGCCGTGTGTGCTCATAGCGGCGTATCGACTCGGGCTCCCTCTTTTCACGAGTAAATTTGACGTTAGCCAAATAAACACATTGAAGCCGGCTACGTTTGAAGTGGTCCCAGTTGACAGTGGGCGACCCATGAACATCGGCATGATTGTTCCGCAGCGGGTTGCCGTTGTCGGCACCTTTTAGATTCCAGGCACCGGGGGGCGGTTTCTCTTCTCCCAGGTGCCCCTTACGCACTGCCGGTGACTTCTGGACGTTCTTTCGTTTCAAAAATCAGGATCATTCTGCACGTTTCATGAGCATCGCGGCATCTCAAAGGACACTATTATCACCATTCGTTCGCTCATCCATTCGTTTATTCATCCGCGGTTGTATCCCTCTTCACAGTTCCAAGTCTCTATCACTCGCACTTGTCACTGCGATCGATATCCTGTGAAAAATAGGCGAATAATTCAATCCGCAACATACGGTTACTAATATGAACAGTCTCAGGAGACATAGCTTTTACAATGCTCAAATAGTTTTCTACTGTTTTAGAAAAGGATTCGTGCGTTTTGTTAAAAAACATTTGAAGAAACACTTTATTAGAATTAAAGATAAATTCAAAATTACTTTTTTTTTTAATTCCAATTCTTTAAATTATTTGAATTTTAATTTCACGAAAATAATTTTCTAGGAGTTCATCTATTTAAACAGCATAGCACTTTAAAATGTATATTACACAAATCTAGAAGGATTACTTTCTCACAATATTTCTTTTATCTTTTATTTACGTGATATCTCTTCATTCATTATTTCGAAAATTAAAAAAGTTTTCTTTCTATCGAAAAGGTAACGATCAGATTAAAAAATTACTAGAAATGTCTGCAATGTAAATATTAAACTAATTTTTAAAAAACCTTGATATTTCATAATAAAAAATATAAATATATAACAATAAATATATAATAAATGAAAAACTAGTAAAATAAATTTCGAAACAATGGCGAAAATTCTTGCTCACATGTGATATTTTCAATAATTATGTTTGGAAATATATTACACACAAGTACAGACATGATAAAATACTGCTTATTTATTTATATTTTGAACAGAATAATACACTATATATTCATAAATTTTATTTCATAAAGATACACAATATTTTTAAAAATATATCAATATAATTATTAGAAATAAAAAATGTAATATTTATTTATATAAACTTAAAAGTATGTACTTTTTGTTCTTTTATGAGATAAAAAGTTAAAAAAAAATAATAATTGAATAAAAGAAATAAAGAAAAATTCATCAGGAGAATTTATTCGTCACATCCATATAATCCATATTAACAAAATTGTCTGAAAACTTTTCAATATATAATAACTATTATAATTTTAAAATAGGCGATGTTATCTAATTAGTAGAATTAATTTGTCACAAAAAAGACAGTATGTAAATTCTAGTCTATACGTACAAACAATAATTTTATTTGAAATAAAAAAAGAAACAATTTTATTAATATATTCGATTTAATTATTAAGAAGCAAATATCAAGTTTTTGAAACATTTCTTATATCCCTATGAAAATTCGATGTCAATTACAAGTTGATAATACTTTGTATTTCACATGTGAGAATTGTTTGAGACTGTTTGCGTAAAATTTTCATGATAGAGAATATCAAAATAAAATTTTGTTACAAAATAAAATTTTACTGTTACTGTAATTTACAATGTAGAATGCGTTTTTAAGTGTATGTTCAAAGTAGTTCTATTAATAAAAGCTTTCGAGCAAATCGGACAGGGATATGCACGTGACAAATGATGTTTTAGATGCTTGGTGAACTCCTCATTGTTGTTGAAAGACTTGTAACATATATTACATTTGAGGTCTCCCTCAGATACCTCTAAATGAGTCCTTGTATGTAAGTCAACTTCTGCAACATTGTCAAATTCTTTAGAGCACAGTCGGCAACTAAATTTCACTGCTTGAAGAATGCCTATTTGACTTCCGGTTAAAGGATTCGGTACAGGTATTATGTTATTAGCCTCGCTTTTAATGTTGCACGTAAAGCTTTCTTTCTTTCCATGAGTGCTTATATGATTCCTGTAATATTTTCAATAATGTAAATATAGTTTATATATTTATAATTATTTTTCTAAATATACAAATTGCATAACACAACAAAATTTTATAAAGAAATTATTTAATAGAAATGGCTTACCTATAAGCTTGATCACTCTTGAAGCTAATATTGCAGTTTGCACAGAAGAAATCATTTTGTTGAGGCAATAATGAAGGTAGAGAAGGTGAAGTAACTTGAAGAATAGTATTCTGCACATTTATTTTAGAGTGCTCGAGCAGACAATGCTGTTTAACACTATCTTTCACATCGAATACTTTACGACACTGATGACATTTGTATGGAAATGATGGATCAGTACTAACATGAAGTCTTATATGCTTGTCATATGTCGATTGAGAGTTACATTCGGTTTGACAGATATCACATATAAAATGTTTTCTGATATGAACATATAATGATTGCGGATTAGGAAAAGTTTTGTAACATTTAGTGCAAGAAAAGTTATTGGTTTCTGCTTTCTTTGCAAAATAATATTTGTCACACATTTCACATTGAAATGCTAGTTTTGAATTATATATACACTTTTTCAGTTTGCAATTACCCTTAATACAGGGTTTTTTAATGCGTAATGTCCGAAGTTTTCTTTCTGTTTCACTTTTATTTATCTCTGTGTCTTTCATATCATGAAGCATAACTAGAGGTACCTTTTTACATTTCGGCCCTGGTTTACCTCGTATTTTATCAATCTGTATTATCAGACGATATGTTTTTGTACCCTGAAGATTATCATGTGTAGATGTCGATATTGTAGAACCATTCAAAGCTATAACACGACCTGTTGATGCTTCTGCTTTATTTCCACTAAACAAATTCTCAGGCTGCAATATAACATAAGCATATGAAATATGTATATTAATAATTTAATTCTTGCTAAAGAAAAAATAAGCTTACATTATCTTGTATGGATGGACTTTGAGGTGGAGTCACTAGAGTATGTGAATGTTCATCTAATTTCTTCTGTTTTGGTAGTATTTTCAATGGTGTTGTCTGTATATTCCTTACTTTAGATTCTTTCAAAGATTCTATAAAGAGGTATAATGTATACCATGACAAACTATACTACATAGGTCTTACTATAGTATACTCTTATAGTATACTCTTACTATACTATATAAAAAATTAGTTCTTTATTACTGGATTGCATTAAAACTTTATCTTGATTTCGTCATACTTTAAATGTATATCTATATCTTTTTTAATACAAGTATACCCTAATTTAGCTATAAGGAACAAAGAGATATAATTTTGTAGCAATTATAAACCATTTCTACAAATCACAATACATTGTTGTCATTAATTTATACTATTTATAATTTATATTATTTGGAAAATTAAAAGAATAATTAGCATTATAGCAAGTAAAATTGTAGATAAACTTATAGATGTGATTATTTTTTATGAACATACATCATCAAAGAATTAAATAATACTCATGTCAATATAGAATGTTAGGCTTTATTAATCTTCTTTACCAAATATAGTGGGAACAGCAGTTGATTTCAAATCTTTGGATGAAGTGAAGTAAATCTTCTCAAAATGCAACTCGCAAATGTGCAAGGGCACCTTGTCACTCGTTAGCAAATCGCAGTTACGAAGCCATTGATTCTTTTTCCTAATATTTAACAGAGAAATGATAAATGATCGCCAACGCGTTTATCATATTATGGCACAAGAGTTACTTACACATTATCTTCCGGAAAAGGGAAAAACGCGATCGGATTTCCGTCTACCTCCGTGTTTTGAGTAGACGGGCAGTTGTTGACCGCACAAGTTATCATCTTATCACCAAAATTCACAGACAATAAACGATGAGACACTTTATCATCACCTCCGAGAACCCCGAGACTGTCTAAATATTATACATAACCTAAAAATGAAACTAGTAACTCCCGCTCAATCATGCCGCATTGAACGCAGTGATGCCGCCAGATGAAAATCAGGAAACGCAGCTACACCAGAAGATAAGCTCAGAGAAAATAACGGTTATGTTTCAAAATTTAGGGCTGAGTATCAATCATGTAACTTTTTCCGTAGGACAGTTTCCATTATCTTTAATAGTAAAAATTTTCATTTTTCACGTTTTTATCCTAGAAAAAGTTACATAACCAGTATTCAGAGTTTGAATTTGAGATTAGATTGAAATAAACCAATCAAAAAAGAAAATCAATTTTAAGTTTAGTGAACTCTGTTCGGATTGGTCAAAATTCAATCTCAACTTCAATCTCTAGTTTAATATGGGCATGAACTATTTTCTTTGTTATCGATAATGTCTTTTGTCTATGATGTTAGAAATTGGTCTGAGATCTCGGATGGAAAGAGAATTGATCAATTGCGTTTGAATAATTCGGCCAATTAACCAATGCGATTGGTCAATTCTCCATGGACACAAGGTCTTAAAGAGGATTCAGAGTATGGCCAAAGTCCCCAAAAAACTTTTGCCTAAAACTCTACTTGTCATTTGAAATAGAGAAGTAAGCCCAATGGCTCTCGCACACTGAACGCGACGAGCGACGAGTGATGAGCGATATCCAATGAGAGCTTTGCTTTCGGATATGACATTTGAAAAACTATAAAGGTTATTTTCACCAATTCCGGTGCAAGCGTCCCGTTTGATTACGTTGCAATTGGATACAACCACTTACAACGACCGATACTCGAAGATTTTCCAATGGATTAACCAATCAAAAATTTTATTTTAAATTGGCCAATCGGCAACGTGGGCTATTCAGATGCTCCCCGAAAATACACAATCGACCCTTAGAATCGAAAGAGAAACAGAGATGTCACTGCGATTTGACACAATGGCAGAATCGGTCGGACGGATAAACATCTCCGACCGGCGATAATTCTGCGTAGTTGTGCGCGAGTCCGTAGCTGTGTACGCTGGTCGTTTCTGAAGCTACGGGGTCCTTGAACCTCGTTCGTTGAATTTCGATGAGATCGGAGCTGGTCACCGAGATGATTGTTTTATACGGAGTAGTTTCGAGCAGGAGCGAGCGCGATTTCAGATAATCATAGATTTATCTAGCCGAATGATTTCGCGCGCGATTCGCCAAGTTGCGTCAGTTTTATATAAATAAAATACATACTTTTGAGACGCGATTTTCAGAGTTTATTACTGTGATCGACGTGCCCGAGTTTGCCGGATCGCTGCATTCGCCGGCTGAGCGATTTTCGGCTGCCACATTAGAATTGTACGGATTGCTTGTGTATATAAATATATATAGATGTGTACGGTATAACGAGAAGGAATTGTATATATAACGTTAATTTTTTTAATCGAATTTTGCGCGTCTCTTAAGAGCGTTTTTCTCTTTGATTAATGGTTCCCGCACGTAACAATATGTTTCTCGTTTGCGTGACCGTGGGACTTGTCTTTCTGGCATCGAAGTATCGCAATAACGTACTTCGCAGCGTCAAACACTTGTATAAAAATATCAAGAATCGAGATAGCACTAAAAATAGTAATAATTCTAAGCCCAAGCGCGATGAGAAAGATATCGATAGTAATAATAATAACGAGGATATCAATGATAACAAGGAGATTAAGCTTATATTAGACAAGATTATTTTGGCAGACTCTCCGGAGAAATGCGATTACGCCGTACAGCGTATTCGTTGGTAAGAAAAAGATTATATTATTTATTTTACTATTATTAATTTTAAGTATTTCGCGAACAATATTTTTCGATGTGAATATATATCTTAGATATTATAACGAACGTTACATTCCTTGTAACTTCTCACAATATAATGAACTGTTTTCACAGTTATTGTTTACATTTTTTTTCTGAGAGCTGTACAATACAGGTATCAATACAGGTTTTGGTATTCAAAGACCGTTTTCATTATATATTAGAAACATGTATGAAGAAATGTCCTTGAAATTCTTAGGGAAAGATTTGAATTTCTGACAAATATTACAGTAGCTGGCAAAATCAAAGATCGTTACATAAAAGAAGAATTATTACAATTTCAATTTATTATTTATTTTATAACAGGATTCTCTGTTGGCAATAAAATAATTTTTTTTATTAATCAGAAGGGAACAAAACAGTTTTCAATCTAATTTTATAATATAAATTTATGATTGCTCTATTTCTATATTGTTCTTTAAATTTGTCTTATTATATACATTTTTTAAGTAGAAATTAGAATTATATATATAGAAATACATATAATTTGTTTTATATTTTATTAGCTAAAATTATTAATTTATTGCTTATTTAATAGCGATCTGTCTGATGGCATTCTGGGTTTTGATTGTGAATGGGTCAAGGAAGGACCTGTTTCTCTGTTACAATTGGCTACTTTCAATGGAGTAGTTGCTCTGTTTCGCATTGGAAAGATTGGATATATTCCGCTTAAACTCAAGGTAATGCTTGGCATAAAATTCATAAATCATTTAATTTTATACATATTTTATATATATATATAAAATATTCAGTTTTAATAACATTATACTTGTTATATTCAGGAATTATTAGCTAGTAAGCACATTCTCAAAGTGGGAATCTCTTCATACGAAGATGGACAGAAGATTGTAAAGGATTATGGTTGTAGAGTTAGTGGGACTCTTGATTTAAGAAATTTAGCTGAGTCTCTCAATCTACCAAGTCGAAAAAGCTTAGCTGCCATGAGTTTAGAGTATCTTAATATTGAGATGGACAAGATAATAGAAGTGAGGTGTGGCGATTGGGACGCCAGTACCTTAACCGACGAACAAGTTGCTTATGCTGCTTGTGATGCGCTTGCATCTGTTATTATTTATCATAAAGTAAGAAAATCAAAGAAGCCTTTTTTATATAACAATTTATATAGAATTATAATAATTACAAGTTACATCTTTTATATCCGAATTTTCGTTACAGATAATGCAAAAAGAAAGAGAAAAATATTCATTGTGGCAGAGATTAGGAATTTATTTATGTAATATATTAAGTAGTGATATAAATGTACGAATTCATGGTGTACCTGCTGAAACAGTCGATACGAGGTATATAAATTTCTAAATCATAGTTCAGGATCTTTTTATATATAGGAGAAAGCAAGAATAAATATAAGTAAACATCTGTTTAAGGTTCAAGGGTCAGCGATCACCAAGTGTAGACAGTATTACTAGTAATAATGTTTTAAATGCGAAGAATAATAAATCAGTAGTATTAGATAAAAACACTATTAACGATCGTAAAAATGCGATACCTACAAGAATCAAACCTTTATATCATAATTGTTATTTACAAGCACCTGATGGAGATGTATTGTGTACATGCGATCGCAAAAAAGCGGAATGGTATATTACAAAAAATTTAGGAAAACTTGTGGAGACAGATCCATATACAGTGAGATTAAATTTCGAGCCATCTGGCCGAGCATTAGGAGAGGTTGGACAATATTATACACAAGTGAAACTCAATCAATGTGTAGTCTGTGGATGCACTGAGAAATTTATTAGGAAAAATGTCGTGCCACGAGAATATCGAAAATATTTCCCATGTATGTATCTTTATAATGTTTTTATCATATGAAAAATAATAAAAATATAGTTTTAGATTTTGACAACATGTCAATACATAAGCAACATATAAGCATATATGATACATAAAAGATATATCACTCATACAAAAAGATATATCATTTTGTACACAACTCTCTTTATAATCTAAAATGTTGTATATTTTTTTCAGTGGTAATGAAGGCACATCAATCTCATGATGTTTTATTATTATGTCCTTCCTGTCACGAAATTAGCAATAACCATGATCTGCAGCTCAGAAGAAAGTTAGCAGACATGTGTGACGCACCATTAATTGGGCCGATGACGCATGTACGGGACAACTACTTGCACGGCCGCCGAAAATTGCTTTCGGCTGTTAAGGCATTGAGAGAAAAATATACGTTACCTCAACAGCAACGTGAAGAATATGAAAATTATATACTAGAACAAACGGGACAGCAAAGAGTTACGCCGGATTTACTTAATATCCTTAACGAGCAATTGAAAAATGCACTAATCCAGAAACCGATGTCTAATCAGTTCAAATATCAGCCGCATGGCCTAAAGGTATTTATTTTAAAATCATTAAGACACATCTAGAATTTATGTACTATACTTATATGTTTGACTTTTGTTCGACAGGTAGTGCAATATTTTCAAAAGCAAGAAGGTGGACTCGTGGAGTTGGAACGTATGTGGAGAGAACATTTTCTTTTCACAATGAAACCGAAATACTTGCCAAGTTTATGGTCTGTACGTCACAATCAAGAGCGACTGATCATACGCCAGGCACAAAATAGAATTGATGCGGACGATGCGAAGGCAGCTGGATTAACGCAGTAAAATTTGAATATTATAACTGATAAGTCTCGTATAAGAGCGAGAACTTCAAAGACTGTTGTATGTGAATCAATATATCTCCTATAATCTATATATATATATATATATGAATATCTCTACTTTTATTTACCTTTACATTGCCATGTGGCATGATGCAATAATATGAGATGCGAATCATAATTTTTCAATGTAGAAACTATAGCATTTTATTCTTACAAGTTTTAGACATTGTGTATTGAATGGCATGCTCAAAATATACATTTTAAACATATTTGCAAGACCACATTATATATTTACAAATTTCTATGTTGGATAAAAGAAACATCATGCTATACTGTATTAAAACCATTCTAATCCAGAATCTATTTATTATAACATTATATACAGTTGTTTAGAATTAAGTAAATTTAGACTAGGAGTAAATTTCATGACTGTTTGGAAACTTCCTGATCGCTCGTCGAACCTGGCTGCGACGTCGACGATGATGGTGTCGATGTTGTTCCTTTTTGATTTTTCAGTTCCTCATCAATGCGTTCTTTAGCACGGACAACCTTTGACTGTAGGTAAAATGAGCCGCTCTTCAACCTGTCATTGGCTTCCATGAGATACTTGTAATTTCGCTCGATCAACTCCGTCTGGTCAGGGCGTTCCACGTTTAGGATGCGAAGGGCCTCATCCAGGGTGAGACCGGTCTTAGTGTTGGCGGCGACGTGTTGCGCACCCTGCTTTCCACCGCCCGCTCTCCGCGCCGCTTCCTGGCTCGCCGCGATCTCCTGGCGCAGCGCACGTGCGAACGCCTTGCCGACGACCTGCGTGCCCATCACGATGATCTGTATCAGATACTTCGCCATGACCTAACCTCACCGCGCACGTTCGGCACCTCGGCGCGCGGACGAGTTGTCACGCCGGCGTTTACGACTATCTCCTTATCGTTTCTTTGACCGGTTGCGCCGGTCACCGTTCCGAGGTTATGTTCGTTCGCACGTATCGTGCCTCTGCCCGCGCATCAGCGACGCGACGTCTCGGCTACCATGAGGAACCTAACCTAGCCGCTACGCGTGGCGATCTCGTAACTCTCGCGTCTCTTCAAAGCTTACGAAACACATCGCAACACATCGCAAGCCGCAAGTCGCACGTGAGATGAGAAGTTATGTTGGAGAAGGAGGTGGGGAATAGGCTCAACTTCCGCGACTTAACAGTGTTCCACAACTTAGTCTGTTCTCAATTTCGAGGCATATCTTTTATTATTCTTCGAAGTGATTATATCTAAAGTTTAATTAATTAGATCCTCTTTTCCTAAATTTTTAATCCCAGTATTTAATATCAATAATGAGAATATTTCAGATTTCCCTTGATGTAAAATAAATTAATACAGAATTTATGAAAAGATTTTATTTATTTTTTTATTATAGATTTGTATGTGTTTAAATTCTAATTCTATTCGAAATATTTTTAATTATCTTAAAGTTTAATTCCCAACGAATTTCTGTGAAATTAGTTACGAGACTAAGTTTTGTTATTCACTTATTTCGTCCATCTATTTTTAAATTTAGCTTATTATTTTAATTTAATTTAATTTTTAATTTGCATTATTACCTAAATTTATAATTGGCAAAAATAGAAACTCTATAGTGTATGATTATAAAAGTTCTGTTATCTTATAAGTTATTATTTCCCATTTAATTCTTTCGGAATATATGTTTTATTAAATTATTTAAAATATATAATGTTATAATCAATAAAATATTTACAAAACATTTAGTTTTTTATTAATTATTTAGAATAATTGTTTGTAATACATTAATTTAAGAAGTACGTATATAAACTTGTTAGAAATAATTTTTGTGCTGATTTACTAAGTTAGATATATATGTATATGAAAAACATATAAACCACTTTGCCAAACAAAATAATATTTCAGCGATATATCATACATTTGACTTGTTTATGAACGTTTTAAAACTTTTATTATTTAAATAAAATTCATTGTAATATAAAGCAATGTGTAAAATAAATTTTTCACAAATCATAAATTAAATATCATTCTAGATGTATATATAATCCAATATCAAAATTTAAATCATTGTTTTACAAAAAAATATAACATATCTTTTCAAAATTGATAAAATTTTAATCTGTGTATATATATTTCACTAATTATATATCATATATAGAACATTTTGTGATTATATGTTTCTACGACTTTTAGCTTTTGCATTACAATCCACCATTAACATAATATAATTACTGTAATCCAAATACAATTCGCGATATAATGTTGTTATATCTTTATCCGACTCACATCCCTTTTTTAAAACCGTCTCTTCTGGTACATCTACAATCTCATTAGAAAGTTTATTCATTAGTGCGAGTTGCACGATATCTCGCTGATGTTCATCATCGTACAAATTTGTCCTTTGCAGTTAAATTTTTTGTTCATCCTCTCTCTTTTTCTCTCTAAGACGCAATTACAATTACGCACTTATTTTCACTTCAAGTGCAGAAAGTACGATATAGCGCAGCAACAACAAGAAACAGATATTCGATGGTACTTATAACAGAGCCGTGCAACGTATGTGCTGGAGCCCCTGGCATCAACTAATTTCAAAATTTTGTTTCATATTTAACTATTCTCTATTTATTTACCGTTAGAAATTGTACTAATTACTTTCTATTTGTATTGGTCATGTTATAGATTTCGGTATAGGCTTACATCTTATATCCTATTTCTATTAATATTTATGAATTAAAAAAAATCTCAGTTTAATTTACTTTCTTTCAACATTTTTCTGATGAAAAAAGGATAACCAAAATAAGATAAATCGAAAATGGATATTTCCGTAATATTAAATTCATATATAAAGAACCTCCTTCTTTTAGGAGGATCATCTCATTTCCGCCTCGCAGCAGCATCTCGAAACTCTCATTTGAAATGCCATGTAATTAATTTTATTAGATAAAAAAATAAAAGTAAACAAAAATAAAATTTAAGATAAAAACTGAAGACAATTTTAAATACATTAAAGAGAGCTAGGAATATCGCTCCTTTTACGGAAGATGGTGAGTCGGACGGTGGCGGTCTCTCTCGAGTGTGTATCGTGCACCGCGTGGTGCACCGTGGCGCGGTGGTGGTGGACGCGCACTCCCCCTCGAGTTCGCCTTCGCCAGCGCAGCGCGAGGCGCGTAGGCACGACACGGTACGGCGAGCCGAGCAAGCGAGTAGCGCGAGCAGTAGCGAGTCGCCATCGCGCGGGTTCGCCGTTAGGCGAGTCGAGTCGAGTCGAGTCGTGTCGTGTCACGCGAGGAGAGACGGGAAAGAAAAAGAGAGAGCAAGCTGAGGTCCGGTTTGCTGTCAGTTCCTTCATCATTGTCGACGTCGTCGTCGTTGTTTTTCCCGTACGTGCGTCCCTCGTCGGCGCGTCGCCGTTGGCCATTGTCCCTGACATGGAAGCCTACCAAAATGGCAGAGATCGTGCAGATGTTTTTGTTCCTATATAAGTCCAAGTACCGTCGGAAACATCGTCCCGGCAGCGACGGTGACGACGACAACGGCGGTGGCGGCGGCGGTGGCGGCTGTGGCGACGGCGACGGCGACGGCGACGGCGACGCCGCGTCGTACGGTCGCGAACGCGATCGGCGGTGGCGGTGTCGGTGCGGCCATGGCGGCGGCGACGGCGCGACCGCGACGGTGCCGTGGCTGCCGTTCTTACTGTGGGCGGCACTCGTCTGCTGGGTGGTTCACGTAAGCGCCGCCGCCTCCACCTCCTCGTCGTCGTCGACGTTGGACGCGGGCTGCAGCTCCAACACTTGCGTCAACGGCAACTGTGTCAATGGCACCTGCGTGTGCCACGAGGGCTGGCAGGGCGCGCACTGTCAATTCTGCGGCGGGAAAGTCAGGTAAGACTTCCGTCCGTTGATTCTCGGGGAAACCAGGATCTCGCAATCCTGTCTCGCACCTTCTCCCCATTCCCATTCTCCTTTTTCTCTTATTTCTCTTTTTTCTTTTCTCTTTCTCTCTTTTTTTTTTGCATTCTGTTTAGCTACGCTTCTCGCCGTGTCTCGCCGTTCGGAGCGTGAGGATCGGAGCAACGCCGCATTTCCTCCAGGAGACGATGCTCGGAAGGATATCTCCGTACACTTTTCCCGCATATCCTACGTGGGGGTGCGTACGCGCGGCATCGAAACGCGCGCGGTCCGTGTCAAGTGCAACGGAATCTACGCCACTTTCTAGGTCGTACTCGTCGCTTCGATCGCGCGTTCCGGTTGAGCGGGCGACGGAGGGATCTGTCCACCCCCCTTGCGCGACCGACGTAAATAAACGTGCATGTATACATATATGTGTGCGTGCATATGCACTTTCGGTTGCCTCCTTTCGGGAGAGGCGTCTTTGAGACTTGCTTCTCTCGTGGCCGCGCCTCTTAATGGCCTTTCGATCTCTCTCCCGCTCTTCTTTCTCGCGTAAAGTTCAGTCGAGACTTGACTTACTCGACCAGCCAAACGAATGTTTATTATTCACATTTTCTCTGGCGAGGAGAAAGCGGAGTAGATGATATCGATTCCTTTTTATCCGAGCGAACGGTTGTCGTCGGTGACACTGACCGAGCGCTGCGAGTTTCGACAGTCTCTCCGGAGAATCCGAGATTAGATTTGTCCGTCGACTGATCGATCATCGCCGGCGTTGAGCTCTCTGGTGACTACCTGATAACATGTCGGCGAAAATGCTCTCTGTCAAAGATACCGAGATTACGCCGCGCCGTAAACGTTTGTCCGACGCAGAGAGGGAACAAAAATATCCCAATAGCTTGCGTACAAAACGCCATCCGTTTATCGTTCGGTGTGATCGTCCGATCATTACGTACCTTCCATTCGATGCTCGAAATCATTTCACTTTTATCATTCACCAAATGTTAAACAAGAATAAATGATGACCACGAGCGTTGTGAATGCCAAGTGGAATCTACTTTTGAATTTATCGTCCGGATATGCGAGTCTCGACATTCGCGAAAAGATGTGCGAATTCTGAGTCGACATTTTTCCTTTCCTTTAGAATTTTTACATTTGAATTTTTAATTTTATTTGTTTTGACACACATACACACACACACACACACACACATACACACTATACAGTCAAATCAATTATTTCTTATACATTTTCTTATCATTACTTTACAGCTCCTTAGATTCAAAATTCTATTGAAGATAACCAGAAACTCTTCAAAATAGAAAATGTTTTATTTCAGATGTAGAAACTTATTTTAATTTATTTGTAAAATGGACCCTATTACAATCCTCTAAAATTTGTAAATGTTTAAATTAAGATCAAAAGCAGGAGTAAAATTTTGAGAATATGTGAGAAAAAAAATTTCATAATAAAAGAAAAGTTAAATCAACGTTAAAACTTTCTAAACTGATATCCTTGAAATTGACATTCACGGTCTTTAACGTTTAAAATAGACGGCGTTTTGATCGTATTTGCGTTCAAAGGATTTTTGCATATTGAGATTGTTGTACGAGACATTAACATAAAGAAATCAAATCAAGTATTTTTATCCTGCATTGGGCAAGTTCTACACTTATGCGACGTGCCTCGACTTCTGTTCAGAGCGCGCCGGATGTTCATAGTTCTTGATGGAAAATGTCAAAGGTACACCTCGTCCGATCAGTTGTCACGATGTTCGTATCGCGAATATGCTGTAATAAGCGATCGCAAATATATTTTTAGATATTCCTAGATATCTAATATCCGATAACATCGAGAATAGTAGAAATGTAGATATTAGACGAGTACAATCCGTTATTTTTATTTCTCTTATCCCGTTCCTTAGATGTTTATCTAATGAGATAAACATCTCGAAGATGATTAACGAATCACGTTTCATCGACAATTCAGGCGCCTCTTGAATATTTAACATATGCTAATATGTTCCGTGATATGAGATTTCTGGATATTCCAATGCTAATAGTGTTATTTAATAATACATCATTGCGGAGAATAATGAAGAAAAATATTTCCATTTCTGAAATTACGAATATAGCCGCTTAGCCGTGGAGATAAAAGATAAAAATTTAATTAATCATAACAGTAGACTTTATGATCTCGAGTCATTTTGTATTTTTGACG